GATCGGCAAATGATCGGCAAATGATCGGCAAAATGATCAACAAATGTGATAATATGAAGTATGTCCACCCTGCTGTCATACGGATCCTTTAACATGGTGGAAACTTCATAGCAAAGACTATCCGATACTCTCTTATATGGCTAAGTATTTATCCATTCAAGCAACATTAGTTGCATCTGAACAAGCCTTTTCTATTTCAGGTTTAGCAATAACCAAAATTAAGAGCGACTATTTGTATGAAATATTGGGTTTCTAATGATTTAGGAAAGACGTGTGAAAAAAGAATTCTATTCTTAACATTAATATAATAATAAAAATAAACATGTTATTTTGGGTAATCAATAAATTCAATAAATTCGGCTTTTAATACTTTTTTTTTTGTAATGCTATTAAGATCGGGTTATAAGACCGGTCTAAAAGATCGGTCTAAAATCAGTCTATAAGATCGTCATTGAAGATGATCCTCTGGTCCAATCTCACCCCCAGATCGATAAAGACCGGATCGAGATCGGATGGATCGGATCGTTAACAACCCTAAATGTCTAATGATGATGAACCAATCAAATTGGGGGTCTAGGATATATCCTAGACACAGGAATATAATAGAAATAAAAACCTCTATGATGGCGACGCAATAGTGCATGCACGCCCGCTCCTTTTAATTCCCTTAATGAAAGATGGAATAGATAAAAAACGAGGTAATATCCTCTGATTTATTGATGTAAAAAATAAATTACAAGATTAGGTAATACATAAACTTGTTTTACAATGTGAAATAGCATACCACTTCATGATCCGGTTTCATTGTCCCAACCATCGATATTCCAGATAAAACAAAAATGTGTTGTCAGTTATAATAAAGCTCCGTCGAAATTTATGTTGTTTGTATTCCGTGATGTTAGTAGAAATCTGAACGTACACTTGACAAGCCTGAAATCGTTTTCTTGTAAATGCATATTCGCCAACGCTTCTTTCAAACTACGATACTTCGGTTTCTTTTAGACGAGTTCAGGCTCGAAGAAAATAATACAACGGCTTTGGTGGTCGCAGTAAGAAAAAATCTTATCCATCACTCCGTATTAAATAGTACTACGCATTTATTTTTTCGTTAAAGCAAAAAATGCAAAAATGCCAACTGTATCGCAAATCAATCGTGATGACGTATTATGAAATCTGAGGCTTAAGACGTACGAGACCTGTTTTTAGCTAGAATATGCATGAACTGGTATAAATTTGGTAAGTTTTCGTTCGCGTAGTATTTTTTGTTCAAACATTCAGAGAGATTATGTAAACAGAAAACTGTTATTTATGTTATTTATAAACAAAATGAATGGAATGAAAGACTCCTTAAATAGTCGTCTAGATAGTCCTACAACAAGGTCTTTATTTGTATTTACTGAAAAATCTGTTTTAAACCTTGCTTTAACTCTCGATATTCGCGTTTGCAGGTATATCATGGCATTTTGTTTTGTGGTGGGTACCGAAATTGAGAGCACCATTGTAGTTAAAGGCGAGGCAGGAATGAGCATTGCGGAACTCAAGGATGTAATCTACGAGAAGTAAAAGAAGTATTTTGAAAAACAAGATTATGATCCCAGCGATTTGCATCTATGGAAGGTGGATATTCCTGGCGATGCAGAAAATGATAAATTCGTTAAACTGAGAACACTTACAAGCAGATCTCATAATGAAGATACTATTATACAAGAGCTCGAAGGGCAAAAGTTGACTGCATTTAAGGATTTTGTTGACATTTTTAATAGTGATTCGAAGAACATCCGCATCATAGTGCAACCGCCCCAGTCCGCCACCACTGGTAGGTGTCTCCCAATGGTTTACCTCTCGAACAAGAAATTCGCGTTATCTCACATCTTGTATATTTTTTTTATTTGATTAGTTCGATTAGGAGAGGATGGAAGCCAAAAAAGAAAGAAACGAACATGTAAGTAATATATACATACGGCTTGTGATGTTGGCCAATAATCTTGTTTTGTTTCTAAATCCATTTTTCGATTTGTTATAATTCTTATTAATGCTAAAGACGAAATTCGTGAAGAATCAAGCGAGGGTCGTGATTCTTTAATGATTATTTCACCTGAACGATTGGCAACCTTCACTAAATTCGTGGAAGAGGACCATATTGGACTTTTACACAGTCCCCCGTCTTCAGGAAAGAGCACCCTTGGCGAATTTCTCCAAGAAATTTATAATGATGGAATATACATCAGCTTTGCTGATCTTATTGTAAAAAAAAATCAAGAAATCGATATGGATTATTTTGAGGAGTTCTGGAAAAATAAAGTTAGTCGTACTTGGACAGACATCAGTAACTGCACAGAGGATACTCATTTAATTGTCGATGAAATACAAGTAATCTATGGAAAACGTGCTCCATTTTTTTGGAGTAGAGTGAAGAGCCTTATGTCAAACACTGGGTATAACAAACATCTTTGGATATTTTTTCTCGGAACGTATCGTCCAACACTCTCGGATGAAGTAACGCCTATAGAAATTAGACATACTCTTGATTTAAGTGCGCTACTCTTAACAAAGTACGAGTTCAAAGTACTTGTGACAAACTTTGTCCAAAGATATTCTTCTCGTAGTCATTTCGATATTCCCGAGGATGTCAAGAATGCCATCTTTAGTCTTACTGGTGGTCATCCCGGTCTATGTCGATTTATTTTAATACTATTACGCACTCGTTTTCGTGAAGGTACACAAAATATTTCATCAACAGCCATTTTACAGTACCTTGCTTCGTCACAATTACGGAATAGTGTAACATCAAGTTCACGTGCATTTTACTGGATTGCTGACTGGGATCCAAGCGATAAAGAAAAAGAATTTGTTCGTCTTGTATTACTTAGAAGTCACAGCGACACTCCATTTATTGTTGATTATGATTCCAACCCTATTGCCAGGAAATTTCTTAAGTCCGGTATTTTCGTTGAGAATGATAGCCAAATACAATTTACTGCACCTATCATGCGGATTATTCTTACCCACCATTTGTTCACTGGTTCTTCAAGAAAGCCTACCACTACCTTTGAAGAATTTTTAGAGATGTCTATTCATCGTATGAGCTCATCGAAATTATCCGAATCACTTGGAAGAGGCAATTTTTCTAGTCCTTTATACGAGAGAAGCTGGCAGATGGAATGGTATCGTGCTTCTACAATAGTAGTCCCAGAGAATGAATCAATAAGTGCCGATGTTGGACCCGTATTTGGTTCAGCTGGTTTTCTTGATTTTTACATCAACGGAAATTGTTGCTGGGGAATTGAACTTACCCGCGAAGGCAATCTTTTGAAGAAACATGCAGAGCGATTCGAAAGTGGTGGCATATATAACAATATTCCACTGAAACATTGGGTTATAATTGATTTTCGACATAATTCAAAAAGTGTACGCGAAAAAAAACCAAATTTCTGGTATGCGCTTTATGATGACAATTATAAAAAAATTACTATTATGCGTGAGGGACATGATGACAAAGTCATTATCTTGTATGGTGATTATTGTGAATAAATTAGTTGTATTCTTCATATTTCATTTAATAAAAAACAAACAATAATTAGACACGTGTTGGCAAATATCAAATGTGTTAAATAGATCAAGAATGGTAATATGACCAATTGACCACTTTATTTTTCTAGAGCGATAAAACTAGATATATTTTGTAATAATCTTTGAGAAATATGATCGCATCACGAAAATTTGATCCTGTTTCCAACAATCACTGATGAGGAAATACCTCGTTTTTCTAATATCATGGCGTCTTGACTTGAGATTACATAAAGATAAGTGGTGTTCAGGTGGATGCCCAAGAAACATTTATTAGTTCCGAATTTTGACCTGAATACTCACGTGATTTTTGATCGTGAAGATTCTTCACTGTTGTGCGATAATGTACATGTTCGAAATACGAGCTAAACTTCCCTATAATGAATAACCTAGTTACATACTATCGTGTGTTGACGACATCATGTATCACAGGAACAAGTAATTACAAGAAATAAATACAAAATTCGGGTCTCTGCCCGTGAAGTTACTAAGTTACTACGTCACTAGGTTTAGCCTTCAATGACTTTACCCTTTACATGAAATACATTATCCATGTTTGCCTTTGTGTTTGTGAGATAATGAAGACCTTTTTTCGGGTAGTACATGTTTTGATAACACTCTGAAAAAATCACGTGCGCGTGAACAATTGTTCACGCTGATTACTTTTATTAAGAAAATTTTTTATTATTACATGTAAAAGATAAATACAAAGATCCGCGATACATATTATTTTTTTGATCCTAACCTTCAGGAGATAACCTATCTTTATTGTTTAACCGGAATATTTTTCGCATCAGAAAAAAATCTAATAATTATGTAAATATTATGACCTGCCTCCTCCGGTTTGCATATATACACTGTATCACTAGTCTAGCTTTATGCAGGTGGGCTAGATAAAAATATGTGTTTCCTCTTCACTTTTAATCTAAATACATTTTTTAGCTATTTGCTGTATATTATATTTAACTATTTCTTTTTCTTGACCATAGACCTTTCAATCTTTACCTGCTTTTCAGCTGTCTCAATTTCCTTTACAGTATATTTATTCTTGATGTCTTGATGTAAATATCCTTGCATGACATAATCACTAGGATATTTTTTCTCTCTCTTTCTTTTCTAATTCCTCTTTACTTTTAATTTCTACTAAAACTTATGCTAAATTTCTTTATACCAAGTGCTATTTATTTAACAGAATTTATCAAGAACCTCTAAAGGAAGCTTTTTAACAATTACAGCAATTGTATCTGATTTATCAAGTGGGCTGTATGAATGCATTATATATCAAACATATTTATTTACTTAATTAATGCTTCTTATTCAATTATCTTTATTTTTCACTCATATTAATTAGATAAAATTAAAGTAAAAAATAACTTATAAAAAAGATTCTACCTAAGAGCAGTTAGATTGCCATTACTTTGAGCATCTGTTCTATTTTTTCATCTGATCTTTCACAATTCTTCTTCTTAGCTATATAATAATAAAGCTCATATAATTCCTCTAGACTGGTATATAGATCATTATCTTCATATCTTTTGCAATAATTTTCTAGTTTTTTAGTATATGCTTCTTTCTTAAAAAACATCTTTATTGTGAGTGTCTTAATATAATTATATAGATCCTTTTCTGCTCACAGTTTCTTTAGATAATCTTCATAGTTTTTCATAAGATTATTATATTTTCTGCCCTTTTGCAATGCAGTTTTTATGATTTTAACTTATGCAAGTTTTATATCCTTATAATCAATCATTTTTGTATCTTTCTACTTTAGTAATAAAAAAATTTTAATTAATAAAAAATATATTCTTTAGTTATTAGTAATAATTTTTGTAGTTGAAAAAACTATTTGTTATAAAGCATCTATTCTATGCCTTGACACTAGTGATATCTGACTAAATTCTTTTTTGAAAAATTATAATTTTGTCAAAAGTTTCGTCTCTTTAATATTTTTATATGAATAAATGTAAAATTATTATTTTTTTAATGTATTTTAATTCAAGGAATTTAGATCAAGTTAAATAATTTTGTCATTAATAAAAAACTAGTTTTGTCATTTCAGTTTCGTCAATTTTGTCATATTAAGAAAGATAATTTCATCAGGTATCACTACTTGATATGAAGTTTAGCTTTTATAGCTCTTTCTTTTACTTTTTCAGGAGATATTTCAGATGCTATCAGACGTTTATATAATCCAATTCATCAATGTTCATATAGGAGGATTCAAATATCTAATACTTATTATCATATGGATTCAACCCTATTTTATTTACTTGCTTCAGATATATTTGATAATTATAATTATGGAGATCATACATATCATGACAAGTTAGCTTCTTAGGAAAGAACCAGAAATGACATTATTTAAAAAAAGGAAGGAAGATTCAATTCATGATAATGTTTTACAAATTATATATATATTAATAATATATTTTCTAAAATGGATGATGACAAGGAGGGAAAGGGAGTCAAAATTTCTAAAATTTTAATAATGTCATTTTTGACTTTTTCCTTAATCTTAAGACATTTTAGAAATTTATCATGTCAAAGCTCTCTTTTGATCACACATTTCTTAATACCCTTTACCTTCTAAATGCTATGCTTTTTTTAGGATCTTTAGCATCAGAATCCTTTGGAGTTTAAGAATTATGTCCAACTGGAAGAATAAAGTATATTTTTAGCTTTAAAATACATCTTATTATATTGTTTTTCCTTTTGTCTTATTCTTTATTAAAAATAAGTCATCTAAATAGTCAAGATCAAAAATGTCTGGCCTTTCTGTTCAATTTTATATCTGCCTTCAGTTTTAACATCTGGAATTTAAATGTGGCGTAATATTCCGTAGATTTACGATTTTTGTAATATTTCAGAGTATTACGTTGTAAA